ATTGCTATTTTATGTTTTGTTGTTGTTAAACATTTATTTATTGTGGTTTTGCAGGAATTTATCATGGAAGAGTTTGCTTGCTTTTAGGCAGCATATAGTTTTTACTTTAATTTGATTAATTTATTTTTTTGGTGGCTGGCCAATACAGGGATCCAAACACTTGACCTTGATTTTACCTACACTGCTCAAATAGTTTTTAGATCCTTGAAAAACTCACAGGCCCTAGCGTAGCTCAGACTCCAGGCCATAATCCGTCTATTGAATTGCCTCATGTCCTGAATCTATCTTCACATTGTTCAGGAGTGGTGGGTTGTGGTAACCCTCAACTTTCGATGGATAACTTACCACCTCTCTTCTCAGTAAGGCCAGAGAAATTTGCCCTTGACTGACGGACTGTATAATCCCCTGGCCTGCTCTGATACCAGACACCAACTGACCTGATCCATCCTGGGATAGATAAAGCTGTCCTTGCCTTCATGGAACCAGCACGTGGATGCCTAAGCAAGAGAAGTTATGGCTTGGTCTCAAGCAATGTCAGGAGAATTAAGGTTGACCTGTAGCCCAGTTTAAGATGCTCAGTCAATCAGAGCAATAATATATATCAAGGGCCTATGATGTTTCAGACAATCTTTTAAACCAATAATGGACAAAATAAAATAATACAAATACTATAATTCTCTCACACACACATTTCATGAAGAGCAATTTTTTTTTCAAAAAAGGTTTTTTATTGTCTTGGAGGCAAATACAGTTTGAAAAGTGCATTGTAGTATTGACTACAACTGGTGGAAACATGCTTCTCGAGAGCAAAACGTCAGAGTCCGTGCTGGGGACGATGAGGACCCGAGGGAGCTTCTGGTCAACCCAGAATTCTGTGGGTTTGTTTTTCAGACCACAAGGTGTTACTATTTCTTCAAAGGAGCACTGACACAATCACCAAAGCTCATAACAGAAAAAAATCAGCCATTTACGGAATAAACTGAAACCTGAAAAAGGAAAAGAACTTGGTGTTTCAGCTGTGGTGTTAAAAAATCAGCAAATGAATGGTTTTCCTTTCACAGGCTGCATGAAAAAGATTCAGAGAAACAACAGGGGCATAGTGGGAGAGTGGCTGGGTTCTGGAGAAACAGCCTGGGGACTGTGGGTCCCAGGCCAGGCCCTTCACACCTTTTTTACAGCAGGATGTAAACTCTATGGAAATGTATAAAACTTAGTTTCTCCCAACCCTCCACAATCTCAACTGTTGAGAATACCAATCCTCTTGTCAAGAAACCCAGAAGAAAATTCCTCGTATTAGTTATACCCAGGCTTAAGATTGTGGAACCAAGTTTGACTGGGAGATGGAGGTGAATTTTGCTACATAACTGGAAAGAAATTTCACAAAAATAAAATTCCATGAAGTAAACACACATGCAAGCTAGTGCAAGTACACACAAGTCAATGTGCAACGTGAAAATTCCCTTTTCTTTCTCAAAGGTTGATTTTCATGAGCCCCAACAAGCAAACAGTCCCTATGGGGTGAGTGGGGAAGGCCGAGCCCTCAAGTGAAAAGCCAGTGGTCATCGACCCATCCTCGCCGGCCTCGAGCCCAGCCTTGGAGGAGGCACAGGGGGTGGGGGGTTTGGGGGGTGGGTCTAACCCTTCTTCCATTTTCCTGGACCTTCTGTCAAGCTTCCCACATGCCCTGAGGGTGCCCCTTGGATCATAAAAACCTGCCCAGCACATAATGCTTTAATTAAAAAATTATTTAAAACATTTTTAAAAATTCAGCTCTCAAGAGTATCCTGCTCCAGGCAGCCTTCTTTGAAACTTCAAGCTCATTTAAGATGACCTCTGTAGTTCTGTCTGTTCATGCTTGTGTCAGATTTTGTGTAATTGTGTACTGTTGTCTCTCCCTCCTCTAGAGTAAGCAGAGGAAGTCAGCTGGTAAGGGAGGTGAACAGAGGGAACCTGAGACAGAAAAGGAGACACCAGGGAAGACAGAGGCCATCTGGTCCCTGAAAAACAGAAAAAGTAGCCAGTCACTAGAACCACCTCGATTGCTGACACTTTTCTAGTTACTGTCCACATATGGCTATAAAATGAATATATGAGTTGAGTGCATTTATGAGTAAACTGAGTTGGTCTCTGTTACCTGCAACTCAATCATTGATACCCTGACAAGTACAGACTTCAGAGTCAAAGGTTCCCAAATTTAAACCCTTCATTTGTCACTTACCAGCTATGGGACCTTGGTGAAACTAACCTTGGAATTACGGTGTATTATAATGGGTGAATGAGGTAAAAGTATTTAAGGTAACCAGCACCACAACAAACATACAGTTTGCGCTCAAAATGTTATCTCTCTGTGATATGATGTGTTTTAGGTGTCAACGTGGCTAGGCTCTATAGTTCCCAGTTATTTAATCGAACACTAATCTAGGTATTGCTCTGAGGTATTTTGTAGATATGTCTAAAGTCTATAATCAGTTGACTTTAAATATGGGAGATGATTCTAGATAATTGGGTGGGCTTGACTCAATCAGTTGAAAGGCTTTGAGGGCAGAACTAAGGCCTCCCTGAAGAAGAAATTTTCCCTGTGCACTACAGCATCAGCTCATGTCCTGGAGTTCCAGCCTGCCCTTCCTGACGGCCTGCCCTACAGATTTCGGACTTGATTCGCCAGCCCCACAATCGCATAAGCCAATTCCTTAATATATATCTCCTGTGGGTTCTCTTTCTGTGGTTTCACCTTGACTCGTAAATTCCCTTTTTTGCAGATTGCTCAAAAAAGTGTTTCATAAATCACTGGTGAAACAAGGACTAACGCACTTGAAGCCATCCTATCTATCCAAAGCTGTTTCTATTGCTATGAAATGTTATGACACTGGGGTCCTATAGGCTTAGCTTTATGATTATTGGCACAGATTATCACATGTAGAAGAAAAGTGTTTAGACATTCTAAGACCCATGCCATCCCCTCTGCTAGACTTATTTTATTAGAATCTTCTCAACTACACTGGAGAATATAAAATATTAGAATTTCTATTGAGATCTAAGTTTTCAATGGTATTTCTTTTCTTTCATTTTAATTATTAAAAAGTTACAACTTATGCTTTTTTGCAGACGTATATGGGGTAAAAAGTGAAAGTTCCCTTTCTGCCACCTTCTACCTCCCATCTATTTTTTATTTCCTGGAGCTAATCACAGCTAACAGTTTGGAGTTTATCTCTTCAGCCCTTTAGCTAAGCATATATGTATATGTGTATGTTTAAAAAAAAGGGTGTGGGGCCGGCCCGTGGCTCACTCAGGAGAGTGCGGTGCTGATAACACCAAGGCCATGGGTTCGGATCCCATATAGGCATGGCTGGTTCGCTCACTGGCTGAGCATGGTGCTGACAACACCAAGCCAAGGGTCGAGATCCCCTTACCAGTTATCTTTAAAAATAAATAAATAAATAATAAAATAAAATAAAGGACGTGTATATCTATCTATATATACTCACATACACATTAAAGCATAAATGTGATCAAGCTGTTCAAGTCATTTTAAAACAAAGTTTTCATTTATCAGTATGATTTGGATATTCTGTCTACGTATATAGGTATGTGTGCATATATAGATAGATATATACGCTCATGTGGCTTTACGTCATTCTTTCATTTAAATGAAACTGCTGCATGTTCTTATAAAGTATGGCTGCTATGTGATATACTTACCATTCTACTACTGCCTTTAGGTTACTTTCAGAGTCTCCCTACTACGAACAATGCTGAAATGACTATCCTTGTATATGTAAGCTTGTGTACACAAATGAAATAATTCTTCAGATTAGATTCCTAGAAATGGTTGACCCTGTCACCAAATGTATATGGCACTATTTCATCACAGTAGTGTCATCAATCTTTAAAATGTTTTTACTGAAATCAAAAAGGTCACAATTAAGCTACTCATCACTATCTACAGAGGTTTTTAGAAATGTATTAAAATATTTCTTTAACATTTTGTCCAAGATCCAAGTAAATTTCAGCCTCCTCTGTCAACCCTTTCTTGGTCTATTTAACACACAATAATCTATTTCTTCCAGAAATCCCAAAGCATTACTGTTATCACTTATTTGTCATTAAATTATATAGTGACAAGCAACTTCTCAAACTGCATTGTACAGTGGTCCCCCTTATCCTTGGGGGATACCTTCCAAGACCCTCAATGGATGCCTGAAAATGTGGATAGTGATGAACCCTTTATACACTATGGTTTTTCCTATACATACATACCTAGATAAAGCTTAATTTATAAATTAGGCACAGTAAGAGATTAACAACAACAATAATAAAATAGAACAACTATAACAATATACTGTAATAAAAGTCTTGTGAATGCAGTGTCTCTCCCACTCTCTTGTTCTCACTCTCAAAATACCTTATTGTACTGTACTGCAGGTAACTGAAATAGTGGAACACGAAACTGAGGATAAGGGGGGAATTCCTGTTGTTGCATTGTTATTCAGCTTTCCACATTAGATTAGTCATTCTAATTGAATTAGAAAGAATCCAGAATCAATCAGTAGAGAGATTATTCGAATTGGATCAAGTAGTGAAGAAAGTTAGCTTCAACATGGCAGGGGTGCCAGCTTCCATCTCCCCAAATCAGGTAACTAAAATTTAGTTACTGGGAGGACTTAGGGATCTACTGTTCCCTTACAAGCCTATAAAAGGTCCCATGTGAACATTTCTCAGCTAACAGAATAAACCTGGAACTGCCTAGTTCTCAGATTCCAGGCCCTGGTCTGGAATCTGTAACCTTCTGATGCATAAACATACACATTATTGTCCTGAATTCTCAGCTCATCTTTTTTTTTTTTAAGATGACTGGTAAGGGGATATTAACCCTTGACCTGGTGTTGTCAGCACCACACTCTCCCAAGTGAGCTAACCGGCCATCCCTATATAGGTATCCAAACCCGTGGCCTTGGTGTTATCAGCACCACACTCTCTCAAGTGAGCCATGGGTCAGCCCTCTCACGTCCATTTTAAGATCCTTCAATTAAAATAGCCTGAGGGTGACCATGGTTGCCTCCCAAAAAAAATCTCTCCTCCCCCCAAAAATCCTCTTAAGTACAAACATAAAAACATGCCGCAGACAATTAAAACATACAGCACATGCTTGGACGTTAGTGCTTTGGAGAGATGGCTTGGGGTTACTGTCACCCAGATTCTCTCATTAGATGGTTCTATACATCATGGCCTAATGGAAGAGTTTATGTTACTTGAAACTGAACCTCAAAAGAAAAGAGTAGAAAAACCTATCACTAATACCATTGACAACTCAAATGAATTAAATAATAAAGCATCTGGATATAAAAACATTTAATCCTTTCACCAGGCTTTTTAGGATCCACCTTCTGCTTTCATCCTGCCTAAAAGTCATAGAACACTGACACTGCAGGATGCTCCCAGTTCCTGCAGTCCTGTTGTTCCCGGTAAGGGACAATATGCATTCAAAACTGCACCAGGTGCAGCATTACCCTGGTGCATCTGTGTTCCTTCTCTATTTTCAAGACATAGATACTATTAGAGAGTCATATATAAATATTTTTTCTCTAAACTCTGAGAAGGTAAGAGTTGAAGAAAAACAAAATTTAAAGGATTGTTCTTTTGTCCATTATCTTTAGCAGAGACACTTCATTCTATGTGACGTTCCTGGAGGTTGCTATCAGAGTCCCAAAGTACGAAATGCATCTCGTAAGTCATCAACCTCATATAGGGGCTGCAGAGGAAAAGAGAAGTAAATTGCATGAAAGGCTTCGAAATTGGGTTGGGGGACAGGGAGGGGAGGAAAGGCTTCTAAACTGGCTTTGCATATAACCTATGACATCCTCATACTTTAAGTAAACTCTAGGTTACTTATAATACGTCATACAATGTAAATTCTATGTAAATTGTTGTTATGCTGCATTGTTTAGGGATTACACAGACAAGGACTGTAGTGGAATTGTAGAAAAATATAACTATAATGTACACAGTTTTGTAACAAATGCTTGCTAAACACATTTTAAGTAAAGCAGCTCCTAAGAGGCCGTATAAAGGTCAGGCAGGCCTGAGCACACTAAACATTCCAGGAAGGGAGTAACCCCCACCCGGTTCCAGGAACTGACTAGTTCCTTATCTAAAGGCCACCTGGCCAGACCCCAGGGAAGATAAACAATTGAGAAATACACTGTTCCTTATCGGGGTGCCAGTCAGCCTGCTAAAGCCTACCTGTAAATCTAAAGGCGCCACAAATCTATTGGGGTACCAGCCTGCTAAAGCCTACCCATAAATCTAAAGGCGCCACAGATAACCAGCAACTCATCCTGTCACGAAAATCTATCCAGAAAAACTGTATAAAAGGTACTTGTATTGTAAGCTCTTGGTCGCTTCTGTCCAGGAGACTGAGTGACCCCAGCATGCTGGAATAAAGTCCCTCTTGCTTGATTGCATCAGTCTCAGTCTCATGGTCTTTGTGAAGTGAGCCGTCCCAGTCTGTGGGATTTGTGCATGGTGCACGGATCTTACAGGACAGCTGATCATATAAGAAATGTAAGAGGCCCCAGGAAAAGACTATGGGAGAGAAAGAATATGAGAAGTGAGGAAGCCCTTACCAGAAGGATGCGACGAAGCTGTCTGGACAGACGAACTGAATTTTCATGCAGCCCTTCCCAGGCCTTGAATGTTTCTTCATGATTTTCCACAAAAGTGTTCCAGCAGTAAAAATAGTCTTTAAGAAAAGAGGGAAGGGGAGAAATAGTTCAGGTACCGAATTGAAGGGAAAGAAAACTGGCCCTGTTTTCTCATTTCCCCAGGGCCTTGTGTTCAAGTTATTTTTTCCTCCAATTCTAATGGAGAATTTTAGCTCCAAAGGTGAACCAGAACCCTTGCACAGTTCTACCCCCTCCATTTCCCCTGCTGACTCTTTTCATTCCAAATGGCCATTCCAAATGATGTCTGCTGCACTGAGCCCATGCAGGAAGGTCCCCTTTGCACCTTTGAAGGTCATGATGGTGATCTGGACCCCAGCGCGGTGCAGCCGCCGCAGCCCCTCGGGCGCAGCCTTGTGGCCCTCGCACAAGTAGAGACGCGCAGTGAAGATCCTCAGGCTGAGGTTGGGGTACGCTCTCAGAAAGTCGGCCACATGTCGGGCACAGTCGTAGCAGGGGCTCCAGGAGGTGAACCAGGTGACCCGGTAGCACCGGCCGGGGTCCAGGTCCCAGTCTGAGATGTAGCGGAGGAAGAGCAATTCCACGTGGCAACCGGACTGGGGAGAGAGCAGGGGATGCAACTGACGTTTACTAAGGTTTATTGCGGTTCTGGTGGCTTTGCTATCATTAATTCATCTCTCCCACTATGATCTTTCGGGATGCTTGCAGTCACTGTCCTTGTGTTACAGAGAGGATAAGCAGCTTGCAAAAGTGCACGCTAGTAAGTGATGAGCCAAAACCCTTTGTAGCACTCGTCCTGCAGAGTGAAGAAAAGCTACGGATTTTGTGGAGTAAGGAGCAGGAAACGAGTTGAGTTTGGAGAAAGTAACATCATACCACCTCAGCAGAAATTTAATTTGTGTTTGTGAAGTTACATACTGCACCTTTTGAGAAGGAAAATGGCTTGGGGTGCTTGTTGATGTAGCATTGTGGAAGAACACGGACCACTGGGTGGTGTTAGGACAACTTGTGAGGACCCGCCTGGAGGATCTGAAGAAGGAAATAGATTACAGAGAGGCAGACGGATATATGTTGTAAAAGAAGTAATAGGCACTGCTGTGGGCTAAGGCAATGAAGTAATGTTTGCTCATTGTGTGATGTGTGTGACTGTAATGAAACAAGTCTACCTAGCATTGCAGAAAAGTCATCAGCCCCAGAATGTGAAGATCTAGGTCCCATTTCCAGCTTCACTGCTCAGGTGACTAGACAAGTTACCCAACTCTTGGTTCTTCCATTTCGTCATTAAAACGGGCTGGTGGTGTGAGCATTAAATGAGAGGTAAGTAAAAGTGTTTGCTAAAATCAATAAATAGAATGAATGTGTCATGTCACCAAATAGGAGAGAGACTGAAATGTAAAATAATGGTGCTAAGGTAAGTTACCCAATGCAAAAGCAGGCAAAGAAAATTGCGTAGTAAAATGGGATCCGAACCCGTGGCCTTGGTGTTATCAGCACCGCACTCTACCGAGTGAGCCACGGGCCGGCCCCTAATTTTCAAAAATTCTAAAGACACTATTTGTTTATCACATTTAAAATTTTGCTTGAACAAGCTAGTAGTATCCTCCCAAATAAAAATGCCGTTACCTTAATCAAAACAGCATTCGGATGCTGGGGAAAGGGAAAGAAAGTTGGGGGGCAGTTCTTGGCATTGAAGAAAGGTATGGCATGAGGGTGCCCAGCATAACTGGAGAGGACATTAAATGACATCCTTTTTGGCCATGTCTTATATGGTGCGTGGACATGTAAAAAGGAAGAGAAAAAAAGGATTTGAGGAATCTAATTGAGACATAAATGCAAAGAAGGTTGAAAGTAGGGCCGGCCCGTGGCTCACTTGAGAGAGTGTGGTGCTGATGACACCAAGGCCACGGGTTCGGATCCCTATATAGGGATGGCCGGTTAGCTCACTTGGGAGAGCCTGGTGCTGACAGCATCAGGTCAACGGTTAAGATCCCCTTACCTGTCATGTTTGTTTATTTTTTTTAAAGGTTGTAAGTAGTAGCGCCAGCAGGTGGCGCTGAAAGCACCCACAGTTCAGCTTTTCTCTGCTTGGGAAGCAAACAAATTGATACCGTGTTGCGGAGGTGACCGAAGTCCAGTGAGAAGGAGGTGGCACTGTCGCGCCTCTTCACCACATAGCACAGGTAGGTCTCGTGCCGACCCTTAGCCCAGCGGACGTTTTTGAAGTGGTAAAGAAACTTGCGCTTCTTCATCAGGAGGCTGTGGGGGAGAGGAGGGAGAGGAAAAGTGGGAATGCAGCTCGAGTCCGGTCCCCGGGGGCTTCCTGAGACCTGCGGAGCTCGGAATCCAACAGAAACGCCGTTTCCTGCTTATATTTCAAGCCAGTTGAGAAATACTTGGCAAGGCCCCGAACCCATACCAGCTCCCAGGACAGTCACCTCCCCGACTGCCTTCTGGATGTGGATGACTTGGATGACAAACTTGTTCCTCAGTCCCATAATTTTAGCTTCAGGTTTCCCCTCCAGTTTCTACCTAAATGTCCAATATGTACCTCAAACAACATGGTCGAAACAATATTTCTAAACCGCTTCCCCTCCTGACTCCGCCACCT